TGGTTGGAAGACTAGATCATTGGCAGATGGGCAGACAGAACATGTATTTAACTTTAGTTTTAATGGCTTCTTTTTCTTTCTTCATAAAGAATCTCTGTGTCCTGCAGTTGGGCTGCCTCATTGTTACCCCTGGGAACACTGCAGTGGGAAACTTATTTCAGTTACTTACTTTGGAGGGCACTTGTATTTCAGGGTTGTCCTTGGCTATCTTTCTGACCCAAGTGAGGACCTTCAGGATCCTGTGAGTGACAAATTCTTCAAGGAGATTTGGGTTTCAACAGCTGCTCGAAATGCCACTATTTACGATAAGGTGAGGTTTCCCTGTTTCTCCCCCTGCCCTTTGTAAAAATAGAATCTCATCATAAAAGCTTCTCTCTCTTTCTTTCTTCCTCTACATTTTATTGATACAGAATATTCTTATTATATATGAAGGAATCAATGTTGGTTGCAAAAATATCTCTATTGACACTGTAAAGCAAGGACCAAAATCCTAGGGATGTAGCTCAGTGGTTGAGACTTGCCTAGCGTGTACAAGGTCCTGGGTGTGATACCCAGCACTACAAATAAATCAATGAATGAATGATCTATCAAAAGGTATCATGGCTTATAGTTTAGAAGAGGCCTTAGTGACAATCTGTCCTTTCATCTGATGCAGGACTCTCGTTCAGAGCATCTTTGGCATTGGCTAATCAGCATTTGAATGTGTTTTCTGACAAAGAGAAAGTGGACAGCTGGGGTCCAAAAATGACCACCCCTGTATTCAACCCATTTTACCTGATGGTCGGTGATAGACTATGAACAATGCCTTGGCTTTCTGAGCCCTGCCTATAAATAGGCTGAGAGATTTGTCAGAGTGTGTGGGGGGGATAAAAATAGTCTAGTCAATGTATTTAGCTCACACTGCATAATAGGTAGTATCCGCAGAGAAACCTTATGAAGAAGTTTTCTGCAATGGTGGGACATGTCCCTGAAGGACCACTCTCACTTTAGAAAGCTGAGTTTAAAATACTCAGCTCCATTTGATGCATGGCAAATGCATCTCTTGTTGAGTTCTATCCCTCGGTTATGAAAGAGGTGTTGTTTGATAGTGGAACAGGTTACCTCCAGGAAAATTCAGGTTCCTGCCATGGATAATATGCAAGCTGAGATTTGCTGACCATCTGTGAGATGCTGGATAAGAATGTGTTCTTCTTCAGGTCTTCCAGAGTCCTTTTCGGCAGGGACCTTTCAGCTTTCTTAATGAAACACAATAGTTACCTACATTGCTTTATTTCATACTGAAGAGTCAAGGTCATGATCAAGTAGGACACATGCATGGAGTCTTTGTAAACAGACTTTTATACATTAAACAGCTTTGTGTAAATCCTAAAGACTGGGGCTTTAAAAAAGTGATAAAGACCATTTTGATGATAACTGGATAAATCTGAACATGACACGGTGGAATTAATTTTCTCAGATGTAGAGTGATACTGTGATTATATAGATACTTGTCCTTACCTTTTTTTACATTTATTTTATGTATATGAGTGTTTCTTTTTTTCTGTCTTTTTTGAGACAGGGTCTCCCTATAGCCCCAGCTATCCTGGAACTCACTATGTAGACCAGGCTGGCCTCAAACTCACAGAGATCCGCCTGCTTCTGCCTCCCGAGTGCTGGGATTAAAGGTGTGCACCATCATCTCCTTGTATGTGCACCATATACATGCAGTGCCCACAGAGGCCAGAAGAGGGCACAAGATGCCCTGAAACTGTGATTACAGACAATTGTGAACCACCATGTGGGTACTGGGAACCCATCTTTTGCAAGAACAGCCAGTGCTCCTTACCACAAGGCCATTTCTCCAGCCCCATTTGTTCTTCCTTTTAAGCAGGACCTATAATTGAAATATACATAGTGTTACAGTATCTGAAATTTATTTCAATCAGCAAAGTGTTATGTTAACAGTTAATAACACTAAATGTCAAAATTCATATCTTTTTCATTTTATTATTTTAGGGGTGTTTGAATGTACTGCCTGCATGTATGTAAGTGCCCCCCTGGTGTACGGTGCTCATGAAGGTCAGAAGGGGGCATCGGATCCCCTGGAACTGGAGTTATGGACAGTTCTTAGCTGCTATGTGGGTGCTGGGAACCAGACCTGGGTCCTTTGCAAGAGCAGCCAGTGCTTTTAACTACTGAGCCATCTCTCCAGCCCCCAAAATGCATAGCGTTCAAAATGAAAAGTTAGAGAAAATAGAACTTGCAACATTCCTCGTAATCCAGAATCTCCAGTGAAGTACAGAGATGCTATTAAAAAAAAAATTAGCCTTTGTGGTAATATCAGTAGCTGTCCTTATGCTAGTTTGACTTTATTCTGTGGTTAATGAGCCCCAAAGACAATGTAAGAATGTAGGTGTGGTGTTGTTTAAGTGGAAACAAATACAATTGCCTTGTAGCAAATAAGAGTAGTTTCTCTGCTGGTTGTTTGCTTGTTGTTTGTTTGTAACAATAGATGCTGTGTAGCCCAGGTTGAACTCCAGTTTATGACCCTCTTGCCTCAGCTCCCGTGTGCTGAGCTTATAAGCATGCACCGCTACACCCAGCTGTGAACAGGAACTTTTAAGCTTGTATTGAACATAAAATGAATGTGTTTCATAAAATGAAGGTTTTGCCAATTGGAATGAATATCTTTCATAAAGAACATGTGCTTTCTTTTAAACAAATCACTCAGTTTCCAATTTCTATCTTCACCAGGTCTTCCGCTGCCTTCCCAATGATGAAGTGCACAATTTAATGCAGCTGAGAGAGTTTATAAACAAGCCCATATTAGCAAAAGAGGACCCCATTCGAGCAGAGGAAGAATTGAAAAAGATCCGTGGGTTCTTGGTGCAATTTCCCTTTTATTTCTTGTCTGAAGAAAACCTGCTGCCTTCTGTTGGAACCAAAGAGGCCATTGTGCCCATGGAGGTCTGGACTTGACACACTCCCTTGCAGCTCAAGGAACCCCAACCCGAAGAGCACATTGCACATAGTAACTCTCTGGGGACCTCATAGCCAAAGCCAGGTCTGACACACTCTTGTGTCCACTCCATGGACCCTTTGGAGTGGCCAGGCAGGGTGGTGGTCATAGTGATGCGAAGCCACAGGACATTGGCAAGGCTTTATTTTCCTGCCTGTCCCTGTGAAAGAGGCTAGTTCTTGTTGATAGCATACATGCAATGTCAGACACAGAAATTCCATTTTATAAACCAAAACCCATTTCACTTGCTAACAAAAATCTACCTGTGTGATCCAAGCCGCCAAAAGTTGCCTGCATTGTCTTTTTCTCTCACATTCATCCATGCAGCAGGGGTCTGCCAGACATGCCCTCAGCGTGTACTCCGTACAGCACTGTTTAAGAGACTGAAAGATGTCATGGAGCTGCTCCGAGTCCTCAAGACTCTGAATGATGCCTCGACCCATCTGGTTCTGAAGTAAGCGTGTTTACCACACAGGGACTCACTCCGTCCTTTTCAGGCACTTGTAGGGACAGAACGGACTACCCAGCAGTCCATACTAGGCCCTTCCGATACCACTGACACTGTGTCAAGACACCACCAGGGAGCCATTAATTCCAATACTGAAGCAGAGATTTCCCTTGGCTCCCAAAGGCACTGCCGAGATGTGTCCTTCTGACTGAGCTGGATGGTCAAATCTGTAAACATGTATAGGGTATATGATTATTCTGAAACCAGATAAAATGCAGGTGCCATGTTTGGAAACCTCCAAGGTGTCAGTAGGAATCCAATCCAGACAAAGGAGAAGGTTCCTTACAGTACCCTAGAATTTTCCTGTCATCTTTAGCCGGTGGATTGATTGAAAATTTGAATTTCTCCATAGTCAATCCAGAGAATGCAATTTGTCTTCCAAAGAACAGAAGGCCTCAGAACTCCTAAGTTAACAAGCAGGAACCAAATATCATTTGACCTTCCTTTCTCCCACTTCTATTATCTTCTTTAGGGAAGGAAGTAACTGATTATAAAATACGTACTGTTTTGCTTGCACTGTTAAATATACGTTAACATTCCAACAGGGCTTCCAAAGAAGCTAGGGTGATTAGTAATCCACACTGTCTATCAGTCGTGGAAAACTGCTTTCCCTTTCCGAGGGTATTGCATCCTTTATAGACCAAACCTCAAAGCTCCTCTCTCATCCTGGGAGTATCAGTGGTTCTCAGAGGCCTGGGACCCATATACGTTGTACATGGTGTAGGTGCACTGATTGCAACAGGGGATTGCTGGGGCAGAGTCTCCTTTGGAATCCTCTTCAAAACAAGCCACAAGCCCTGTTCTCATGAACTAATACTCCAGCTGAAAAGAAGACATACAGCCACAAAACCAGAGACAGTCACATCCAAGAGGGAATATCGCCCCAGAGAACATTTCACAATGAAGTAGGGCTTTGTAATCGACAATGGAAATGAATGTTTCTAAGAATAAATAACTTATTTCTTATATGGCTGAAGATGGTAAAATGATTTCATTCTACAAGCTTTATAAGACATTTTCTATTGGTAAAGAAGGTTAAATTCCATTTGAAGTATGTTTTACTTTAAGACATTTTTAAAACCTTAAAACAGCACAGTGGCTCTTGGTTTTGTGCATGATGTTCTCAGAAAACCATTTTTAAAACGTCTTGAAAGAACCCCTAATAACTCATTGACTCCAGTCCCTCCCCATTTTATAAATGAGGAAACCAAGGCTCATATAGCTTAAGCCCACCTGATAGATGGTCGAACTGCAGTTAGCAAAACTGCTACAGCCTGTGAGTGGTTTCCCTTCATGATTGCTCCAGAGTGAGACTATGTAGTCAATAGGTTTCAGACAGGGTCTTTTGATGCTGTTTTAAACCCTGTGATGTTACATATTTATGTATCTATTCATCTCGGCCTACTAGAATGGAAGCTCCACGGGGCAGGAACTCCACAGTATGTTCTTTACTGTGTCTCCAGGGCCTGAAACAATGCCTGACAAAGAGGAGAGGCCAATAAATGTTTGTGGAATAAATATATGAAGTGGAAGAGAGCTAATGAGCTGAAGGCCATACTGAGTTTCAGGCAAGGAATCCTGCTGCTGATTTCTGTGGCAGGTTTTTCTACTAAATTTTCTAAAAGATAAGATACTCACAAAGAGGCAATGACATTTACCTCAAGAGATCTTATTTTGGGAAATTCAGTGCAATGGAGACATTTCTGCAGTAACTGTTTACAGAGCACAGCTTTCTACCACGATGCATGGAACATGGCCTGAGTTGTGCTGCGCTACTAATTACCTGCTCTACTTCGACACCACCTACCTACTAGAAATTCAAATAACATCGCAGTGTCTGATAAAAACTTTAAAATGTAAATAGTTTAAAGCCCTGAAAAGCTATTATGAATCTGTTCAGCATTTCAAATTGACCATGGTCTTTTGAAATGCCCATAAATGCTTACCTGACACCCTGCTCATCTCTATAATAATTTTTGTTTTCAAGAAGGAAAAATCTTATTGCAAGAAGTGAGGAGTAGAAACAGTCGCAGCCTATGGAAGCTGTTGACATTGACCAAGTTTAGCGCTTGGGCTTGTAAGTGCAGTGCAGGCATTCGCTCCAAATCAAGTCTCTGACCATGACTCATCCTCGAAGTGGAATGATCTTAATCCTGAGTGCAGCATAGAGAGGCTAAGGGGGCTGACTATGCAGCGTATTATGAAACAAAATACTTGTTTTTAAAGGGCTTTCAAAGATAGTTTTGTCTGTAGGCGGTAAGTTTATGGACAGTTAATTTCTTAGGTAAAAACTTGGGAAATTATAATATATATGACTTAGCACAACATGCTGGGAAGTCATTTACCAATATGAGATGGGAGAATTTATTTTCTGTACACACAATAAAGAATCTAGGACTGTGGTGATGGCTTGGTTGGGAAAGTGCCTGCTGCAGAAGCACGAGGCCCTGAGTTTTGATTCCAGCACCTGTGTAAAAAGATGGGCATAGTAGCATGCATCTGTAATCTAGCACTGCTAGGACATAGGCAGATGAATCCCCAGATCTTGTTGGCCAGTCAGTCTAGTCAACCCATAAGCTCTGCGTTCAGTAAGAGAGCATGTTCCAAAAACTATGGGATCTGGAGATATGGTTCAACAGCTAAGAACACTTGCCGCAGGTGGACATGGTGGTACATGCCTTTAATTCCACCAGCAGGAAGGTAGAGGCAGGTAGATCTCTGTGAGATTGAGGCCAGCTGGTTCCAGGACAGCTGGGCCTACAAAGAGACTCTGTCCCAAAAAGCAAACAAACAAGAACACTTGATGCTCTTGCAGAGGCATCCACATCAGGCAGCTCACAACCACTTGTAACTCCTGCTCCAAGGGATCAGACACCCTCTTCTGGACTCCTCAGGCACCTGCACTCACATGTGCACATACACACAAATGCATACATATACATAATTAAAAATAAAATCTTTTTAAAATGATAGTTATAGCAGTAATAGAAGAAGACACCCCAATGTTGACCTCCAGCCTTTGCACCCTTGTACACACACAGGCAGGCACACACACACACACACACACACACACGCTTATGCAAACATATGCTACTCACATACACAAAATAAGTACATTTCTTTTCAGTTAGTTTTTAAGTTAGTATACAAAACAATGGGTTTCATCATGACATGCACAGGCATCTTTATACTTTGTTCTCATTCATCCCCTCCCCCACTACCCTTGTCCACACCCCATCCCGCCCTCTGGCTGGTCCCCTTCCTTGCCCCAGTTAACCTCCCCTTTTTATGGCATCTATTTCATTACCCTCTATTTCTTCCCTAAGAATATGCACTTCTTCCTACAAGCATTCCTTATCGCTAACCAGAGCTCCTCCTTGCTATGCAAAAACCATTTTAGATGACAAGAGAGGAGTTTCCGAGGAAAACAAAAATTGCCTGGTGCTAATCTATTTGGCTTAGATAAGGGGTGTCCAACTCAGGGTCACAGCCCTGTCAGTCCTGGTTACTGTTCACTTCCTGCCTTGTCAAGGACCACCTGTCACTGTGTAACCTCTTGGTGAGAGCAATAGAGGGAAAGTTCTTCGTTATCTCTTCTTGTTAGCAAGTTCATCACGAAGACCCCACCCTCATGACCTCATCTAATGAACACCCCTCACCAAAGGCCCACGGCTAGGCATCACATGGGGGTTAGGGGCTCAGCAGAGAAATTTGGGGGAGGATGCAAGCATTCAGTGTTGAGCAATCTGCAGTAAATCATGTTTAACTCACAATTTAGTCACTAAAATAACGTTATATCCCCCCCATCATTCTTTTTTCCCTTACATGGGTGTGGTACACTAGAGTTTTCAAGCCTCTGTTGCTCTCTGTGATGGGGAAGAAAGGATTCTTCTCTCTGCCCTCCCTACTATAAAACTGATAGAAAACAAACAATCCCAAAAAACTGAAGGACTTTAAGTGTGTCCAGAAATTTATTTTCAACCCCTTGGAGTCTCTCTCAGGTCACTCTGGCAGTTAGGAGATCTAAAATGAGTTGATCCAGGCCTCAACCTTAAGCGTCCTCGGTTCTGGGAATGGTCTGGGAAAGTGTTCCGTGGTATCTATGGAAGTGGAAGAATCGGTAAATCTGTTTGTGTGTGAGCAGGCATGTCACCCGTGTATGCACATACAAAAGCCCAAAATTGACCCCGAGTGTCTTCCTCTACTGCGCTCCACCTTTTTGTAGACACGATCTGTCATTGAACCTGGGGCTTGTCTTTTTTGGCTAGACTGGCTGACCAGTGAGCCCCAAGAATCTGCCTGCGTCATCTCCACAGCACTGGGTTACAGACACACATGGCTTTTACATGGATATTGGGGATCTGAACTTGGGTCCTCATGCTTGTGCAGCAAGCACTTTACCCACTGACCTGTCTCTCCAGCCCTGATTTGTGTCAGGGAGAGGGGTTCTAAAGAAGGGCAAGGGCCATAATATGATTTCTAGTGGCAATTTAATCTGTATATGGACTATTCCTGCTTCTCACTTGGGATAGGAAGGGTTAATTAGAGAATCAGCCAGGTAAGGTGGCACATGTCTATAATCCCAGCACTTGGGAAGCAAAGCAGGAGGGTCAGGTGTTCCAAGCCAGCCTGACCTACATAGTGAGGTCAAAGCCAACCTGGGCTACATGAGACCCACTCTCAAACAACTGAAAGCACAGGCATTTTCATAGTTTAATTTTGACTATTTTATTTTTCCTTTTTTGCAATTTTTAAATTATTTAATAACCACATAATTAGAAGAAGCATTTCATTACAACAGCATTGACATTCAATAACGATTTCCAAAGCTAAGATGCATCTCTTTCAAAATTGGCTGTAAATTTTTAGGTTTACAGTTGAATTAATACAGTTATACAATATTGTACTCAGTATAA